AAAAGAGTCAGACTGACAATTTATGTATCTGAGGGTCCCAAGGAAACCAAACAGCATAAAACCTAATGTTATGATTCTCATCATGTCAAGGAAAAAAAATCACAGAGGAAGTTGACGAACGAAATTACAACATTCCAGTAATGCAATTTCTGAAGCCTATATCTTGACCTGCCTATACATCAAAAATACATGTTTCAAACATGCAAACACACAAAGCTACTAACTTGCTAACTCACTCACACACACACACACACACACATATATATATATAGAGAGAGAAAGAGAGAGAGTACACGATGATCAACTACTCTATTTCATTTATATAGGAGTCTTGTAGAGTTAGAGGAATGTACGAGTATCTCCAGACCTGCAGCATAATTATTGGGCCACCTTGCCAAGAGAAAAGTGACTCCACCCGCATCAAATCCACTATCTTTTTCACAAACCGCTGCATTTCTTCCTGGGAGAAGTAAGAACGTCGTTGTGGTTACAGTTCTAAAAATAACCAGGACTTCAAAGATTGACACTAAAAGCTATTTAAATAGAAAAGTCCAGTAATGTTGCCACCCAAGGACAATTGAGATTGCATGCCCAAGAAAAACAAAAACTATTCTAATAGGAAAGAAAAGAAAAGAAAGCGCAACTGAATAATTGAAATAGTAGGAATGAGAACAAGATGAACACACACCTATGCACAAATATGAATGTGTTCTTCAGAAAATCAACTAACACATTGGAAATAGATTCATATGGTCCTCCTCAAGCACAAGAAACTCAATTTTCATGAATCAAGGTTACCTAACAGATCCCTACAAAATGGTTAGTATACAGCTATACATATTTTTTTATAAAAAAAAAAATAAAAGAAAAAACAATTTTCAGGTTCATCTTTCAAAAAATAACTAATTAAAGAACATTTTGCGACCCACTAAGCTTTTCAGACGGTTTTTTTCAGGGATTTTATTTTATTGGGTCAATCATCTATATCCATACTATTATAAAAGGATGAATTGTTTTGTAAAAAAATGAACTACCCAGAAAACCCTTATTTTGACATATTTTTAATGGTAAATTAGTAATACATTAATATTCATCCTATCTTATATTTTTAATTAATAACTAATATTCTACCTAAAAAACCCTCACTTTCACATATTTTAACTGTCAATTAGTAATACAATTACACCCATCATATCTTATGTTTCTAATTAATAATTAATATTTTATTAATTAAAACAAATACACGAACAAAACATTCAACATCTCCTATTAATTCCTATTAAGTGTTGTTTGAGCATCTCAACTATTATATATCTTATTACCTTGAAGGGGGTGTTGTCTGTTCGAAATTCAATTCCAGGTATATCACGAAGCCAAACAGGAAAGCCCCTACAAATAAATACAAAACAAGGTGATAACATAATAATATGTGTAGGCATGCACAATTATTTACATATTAGTTACCAATCAATGCTCCACATTTAAACTCTTAGCTCAAACTTAAATAAAATACTAACCTTCACTTTTTTCAAAACCAGATGGTTGGCCCCTTTTTCAGGCAAAAGGCAGTATTGACTTTCATTTCATATCAAAATTGAAAATCTAAGTCATCATTTGTAGCATGTGCAATGGTACAATGAAGTTGGAAGAGGAAGTGGTTATCTTGATAGCTAGATGATGTCAGCAATGGGGCTAGTTCAGTGATGCAATATGTGATGTAAACAATCTTAAGTGAGAAGAGGTGAAGTTGCAGAAATCATTATTTATTCAATTTTTTGTATTTTTTTTATTATTCAAATTTCAATAATTACATATTTTTTTAGATGAGGAACTTCTCATTAATTTTAGATTGGAACATAAATTAAAATTCTACGTTACAATTCAAGTGGTGGTATTCAAGCTGACTTGAGTACCTTATGTTTGAACTCGTGGTCGTGGTCATTCATTAAACGACCAGCTTGCCTCATTTAGTAAACGAATAAAAGGCTCAACTAGGTTCATTTAACACACCTAAAAACTTAGATTAGTCATTCGCAAATAGGAATTCGTTTTCCGCAAACAAGTTTGAAGTTTCATTTAAGACCCGTAAAAAAAATAAATAAATAAAAAAATAAAAAAATAAAAAAATAATAATAATAATAATAAGCTCAACTCAGCTCGATTAGCTGTATGAGTTCAGCTTGTTTGTTTAGTTAAATGACCGAATCGAGCTCAAGCTTTCATGGTTAAAGTGAGTTGTGTTTGCGAAATAACTGGTTTAATGAACAATACCTCTAATGGCACACTACCAAGACGACTCCCAAAAGAAAAAGAGGACTCCTTAAACAATGTAAACAACCTATTTCACTTGTGCTCTCTTTGAACCGGGCTCTGTTGTAGATCATCGAGATTGGCTATGATGGACCATTTCGTACTTCGACACCTTCAAATCCTTAATCTCGACAACTGCGCCCAAAATTGTGGATCGCTTGCATTCGATCAACATGATAAGTTTTTTAGTGATTGGGGTATTGTCCATTTTCTCAAGCAATAGAGGGACCTGTGAATCGTCTCGAGACCCTCTCCTTTTTTAGCTCTTTTAAAAGTCTTAAATCTCCAGGCGAAAATTCACATCCAGCTCGGATGGAGTGCTAATAAGAGTGTCATTTGGAGTCGAGAATGGGAGGGCAAAGATTCACCTTTTTCAATTCTTGAGCCTCTTGGTGGCGTCACTTGATGCATTCGTGGAGAAATCGTCGAATGATAAATTCCTCACTCCGGTTGCTCTTTCAAGACCATTCACACGTTTCGAGGCCTGCCGTGGTCCATCTCCTATATTGTTTGGGCTTGAGATTACTTCAATTCAAATAAGGATCCGCTTTGGTTCAAGCCCTCAAACCCGGCCAACTTCAATTGAAATTGGAAGATCGCTTTTACAATAACCATGTTGCCTCATTTGATCCCGACTACAATCTTTCCAACCTTCGTGCAACTCTTTGTTGTGCTCCTCACAAACCAAAATCCAAAATCTTGGGTTTGATTGATTGTTGTCAACGATCAGGATTAGTAGATGCATAAACCTACTTCTTGGTGAGACGTTCGCCTTCAAAATAAGTTCAATGCCTCCTATACAACGGTCAAGTTGTCGCTATCTTACCTTTCCTTCTCGATGGAGCTGGCGATGTAGGTTAGGATGAAAATGCGGTTGCAACGTATCAACCTCGAAATTTCAAAACTTGCGAAAAATCCAACTTTTGAACAAATTCATTTGTAAATTGTAAATTATGATCGGGAAAGGTCGATTTGAAATGGCGGCGAGGGGAAATAGGCTCGTATTCGTTGAAAGAAAAGGATTCATTTTGTGAAATTGAAAGAAATAAATTATTTAGAAGAGATGTAGTGCATTTGTGCATGAAAATGGTGACAAGATGGAGTATTTATATCAAAAAAAAAAAAATCTCAGGTCGGTCGGTCCCAGGACGTACAATACAAGTCTACCACACATTCTAAAGACATTACTCGCCCTTCAAGTCAAAACATACATGTATTTTTTAAAAATAAATAATATAATTTGTGTTATTTAAGGTTCGCCAGATTCATGTAAAATAATTAATATTGTTTTCATATCTACAACTTACCTAATTACTAATCATATCTCAGGAGATTCAAAACCTTGAATCTTTTAAAAAATTCTCAATACAACCAAGTTTAAAAATACTTAAGCTGCTCGATGAGCAAGAGGTTCCTTGAAAATATGTGTGTAATAGATGAGAGCATTGAATAACTTAAACTAGTGTGAAAGTCAAAACCTTTTTTTTTTTTTTTTCACTAAAGTCCTGAAGGAAGCCCAACCAAACATTTTTAAGTTTATTCATTAAAGTTGTGAAGCTAATTCTTCAATCAGCGACATGTTAACACATGGATGAGTCAAATATGCATAATCACATCAACTGAGGTGCCTTGTGACTTCTCTATGATGTAAAAACATTGTGATTTCATCTATCCAAATATACTTGGAGTGCCAAAATCAATTGCAAAGAAGTTACTGTTCCTGAATAGCTTTAGCTATGATTATTATGGAAATGTAAAATTCTTAAATTATTGGGAAAGAGAATCTAACCCGAAATTCCACTCTGCACAAGCATAAGGACCTATCCGAAGAAATAAATAGAGCCCACTGGACCCCACTAGCTTTACGAACTTCACAAGATCATATCTTTCTTCGAAGACATACTAAAAAGATGGAAACCATGTTATAAAACTTCAGAAAGTAGAAATGAGCATATACAACTGAGTTAAGAAAGCAAGAGTAAGAATTTTACCTGTCCCCTCACTGGTTCGTGGACATTCCAAAATAAATATGTTTCAATAACATCCACTCCACCTTCTTTGCTCTTCGAAATCAGATCAGGCCACACCTAACATCAATTGGAACTATCAACACAAAGAAATAGACGATAAAACTAAAAGGCAGATTGGTGGAACAAAAATTTACACATTATTGCTCATAATTGTGTCTTTTTTTTTTTCTGGGGCATGGAAAGTCTATATGCAATAAATACCAAAGTCTATGCCCTATTGCTCCAAAATGAATACAGAAACTTCAGCAATTTCCAACGAAAGTTCAATGTAATACTTTCACCAAGTTTCCCGACTTGAGGGCCTAGCTATGTCAGATCCACGGGAAGATCCCCAGCTCCATTTCTTATTGCGAAACCGGTAAAAATGAATAACATCAATCCAAGGATTCTCGACAAATTAGTAAAAAGATCAGCACTCAAAATCCCGTCTAACTACAATCACAATAATGTGAAGAATGAAGTGACTGATGTGTAGATTTCACAATAACTGAGGATAATTTGGCTAAGTAGTAGTAGCAGACTGCATATCAAGAATTTCCCCGTTTCAAGAAGTCCAATCAATTCTTGTCTCACAGTTAAAATCCAAACAATGAAAAGATAAAACCCATTATCCGAAGCAAATGGACAAACTAATTGTTGAGTGAATTACTTCAGGAGTGGCTCTAGCATAGTGAATTCCACCGGAGATTAGAATCCGCCGCTCACCATCAATGATCATTGCTCGGCCATCATAGCTCACATTGAACGGCTTAAAAAATTCTCCAGCAACGATCAGAGAGTGCAGAATCAATCCCAAGACAACACTTCGAATCATGAAACCCATTGAACGATGACTTCGCTAGAGTGTTTGCTCTCGTGTTTAGAGATCAGAAGTCAGTGTGGGATGAAGTACTTCGACACATGTACGCGATAAATTTGGAAGCTACCAATTCATTATTTATGAGCTTAAACATATAAATTAAATTGTTAATAAATATTAATTAATATACAAAATGTATTTAATATTATTATTATTATTTTATTTTTATTTTTATTTTTATTTTTTGTTTGGAAAATTCTGATAGTCTATCCTTTAATTTATATGTGTATTTATTATGGCTATGGTATTTGATAAATTATTAATCAATTTCTATGAATATTTGTTTTTTAAACTACTAATGGTGATTGGAAATAATGATCAGTTGTTTGATCTAATGTCAAATATATTTGATGATTGAATATTTTTCGTCATATATTTCTTATCTATTTTTATATGATAAATTTTTCAAATATTAAATGCTAAATATATATTTCAATCGATATGTAATTAATTTTAGATATGACTTTACTAGCATGTCCACTCATGCACAATATAGATTATTATTATATTCATTACAATTTTTTTACAATAAGTAGAGAATTTTCAAAAAAAAAATAATTATAAGATAAAGCACTATGACTTTAATATTATATTGTTTGATTGTTAGTTAAAATTATGTGAATAGATGAATAGTGAATTATCTATATACATTGAAAAAGAGAGGTAAATAAATCATCTATGGAAAGTTTTAAAAAAATATTAGTCAATCCATTGACTTACCACTTATGGAAAACAATTCAAAATTCAAAATTCGAATTAGTTGTACATACAACTTAGATAAAATATTTGATGTGGGATATTATATGACTAAGGAGCAGACCGGTTCGTCATGTCGGCCGGGCAGGCATAGGAGAGAAAACTACGTTAGTTAAAGGATGATCGACCAAAACAGAAGATGTCGAGCAGAACAGCAGAGTTGGTCGAGGATCGACCTAGCGGGGGGGAGCTCGATCATGTCGGGCATACAACAGGTAGGAGGTAGTCGAGAGCGTGGCCTGAACGCGAGTAGGCGCGTGGGTGATGGCAGAAGATCCCAACGGCCTGCGCAAAGGAATAATTCTCCTCAGCTCAGAGGGGACACGTGGCAAGAATATATTGGTGCAGAATAATAGTGGCAACAACCACCTCTGACACCCCTGACGTTCCTGACAATACATACACAGTGTGTGTACGGACAGGCAGCGCGGGCAGGACAGCTCATCAAATATCCGGGCAGCTCTTAGGGCAGGTATCTCACTTCTATATATATAGGAGTGGGTATTTTCTTAGGGTTTACGATTTATCCATTCTTTACTTTGGAAAATTGAACAAACATATACTGACTTAAGCATCGGAGGCTCTTCATCGGAAAACCCCTCCGGTGTGAGAGTTCTGTGCAGGAGCGCGGCGTTCTATCGGCGAGGAAGAAGGAAGCAAACCGATTTCAAGCCGGTTGGAGTGTTTTGCGTTACCAATATTCAACCGAGTTTCCTATATTACTAGTACGTACCTCGTGCGATGCACGAGAGAGAGATATTAAATGAATTATTTTCACAGACTCTGTCCGTTTAAGTCTGAGAAGGGTTATTATCCATTTTCCACCTATTTTAATCACCGTTAAGTCCCGTTTAAGTCTGAAAAGAGTTATCATCCATTTTTCACCTCTTTTAATCACCATCAAGTCCTAAAAAAATAGGGTTGTAATTTATTTTTCACATCTTTTAATCAACATTGTTTTATTAGTCAGAACATTAAACGTGAGTATGTTAGGGCTAACTTGTAAAATAATTAATATATTATCTCACTAACACATTTATACTAATTTAAATTTTATTTTATTATATATATTTATTCATTGATATAAGAGAAGATAACAATTTTACTTATTCTTATTCATTATATAATAGTTAATTATTAAACTCTGTTGTCATATAATGTCATTATTATTTATAAAGTTATAGAAGTTGCACGTCTTCTTGTTCTTTTTATTTTATGTAATGAAATATATTTAATGCACGTTGGTATTATTTATATAAGTAATCAATTTAAAATATGTAAATAAATTTAAAATTAAATAGTGTATAAATAATGTACAAAATATACACATATATTATTTTAGAATTTAATTTTGTATACTAACTAAACAACTTTGATTTAAGAAAAGTCATGAACTCAATCTCTTCTAATGTCAATGTTTTTCTAATTTGCATTGTAATGATTGTTCTTATTATATATATAGATTAGAATTTTTTGCGACACCAACCAAACTAAATATCACAACAACCAAGTAACAATTATGAAAAACCCATAACACAACAACTATCAATTAAATTTGGTAATAGAAAAATTACATACATATATATAAAAATATGAGGATTCTATATTTCTATTAACTGATGTATACACCACGTGTATATTTTGTTAAGGTATATTGGAATGTTCAATTTCATAGCATGATAACAATAAGTCTTAAAAAATCAAAAATCTTATTGAAATGCCATATTTTCCTGATAAAAAGAAAAAGTTCTCGTAAAAAATAATTATATCATAGCAAATTCATTGTGTAGTTGAACAAATTTTTATAAGTAAGCCCGATTTTCTGTACAAAAATAAAGCAACAACTTCCACATTTTAAAGAAATCAATTAATGTTGATTCGTTTTTGCTAAGAAAATAATAAATAAATAAATTGTAATCAATGAAAGTAATTAATGATGAGAGAATTTGATCATATCTGTTTTTAAAAATCGTAATAAAAAAATAAATATTAAATAAAATTGTATAATACGGAAATAGTAATGACAATAAATGCTGTTGACTTTTCTAACTACTAAATTTGGTAAATAGGACTCCTTTTAATATAAGTATAGATTGGCAAACAGTTTAGAAGGAATCCACTTGAATATTTAAATATATTTATGCTCGGTGTTTTGATTTGGATGAAATATGTCATATTATGTTACTTGAAGATTTAATTTTATATTTATTTGAGAGTTCTCAATTCTCTTTTAACATCTTTCTTTCAAAATCAATATTCATTATCTATTAAAAAGATAAAACTTTTTAAAATCTTATTTTTATGAAGACATTATTTGAAATATGATTCGTACTGGAATAATATTTATTTCGTACCTATATTCACTTTTGCTATATTCAAGCTTGCTAATAAAAAGTTGCACTGAAATATGCTTTGGAAAAATTGTCCAAATTAATAATTACTCTCAATTATGTAATTAATATGTAGTCAAACTTTCTGGTTTAGTTTATAATATGATTTAAGATACGTAACTAATATGTAGTCGGACTTTCAATTTTACGCACAAATCAATAAAAAGATTAACTAACTAAAGGAATCAATTAAATGGACGATACATATAAATTTACATCAATCAGTTATATTGTTTTCTATTCTATGAGATATATACACGTTTAGATAAAAATAAATCACATGTAAAAGAGTTTCATTATCAAAGGCCACATCTTATTTTACCAAATGAAAGTCTGACTTTGACTCAATCCAATAAAAACAAGAGCCATATATTGTTACCTAATGCACGCATAAGCAAATATTATATTACATTACATAAAATCATTATTATCACAAATAAATTAAAAAAAAAATTGTATCGAATTGATACCTAACAGTTTTTTTTAAATTAATTTTAAGGAATCCTAAAACGAGTAAATGACATTATTTTTCATATGAATCTATTCTTTTATTTGGAATTCTTCCACATTAAAATTTAAATATTTGAAATATACGATAATCGTATTTACAATATATAAGTCAAAACTTGCAAGAATTCGTTATTTAATTTATAGGATACATCCACAAAAACATAAAAAGAAAAAAAAAACGTACATTACAAAGGTCCGTATATAACCACGTGATTTAAATATTATAACCTTTGTATGGAAGTTAAAAATTTGCACCAATTTGTTACCAATTATATTATCTATATTATATATGATATATCCCCTTAAAAGTTTGCACTAATTTGGGATAGGGAATGTGAGAAACTTATTGGTAAGAGTTGCGACGTGCTTAGGCTCGAGTTTGTTGACAAGGTAATACATCTCATATTATTAAAATTTATATTCATTATACATATATAGTATTAATTTATATGTTTTTTTTTTTTTTCATAATAGAAGCTATGGGTTGACCGATGAAGTTGACCAATTGGTAGGCAAAACTATGATTTTTAAAGTAATTTGGATCCAATTCAAGAAACATTTTGGCCACACCTCGACATTTTTCATTGGTAGATTGATTGATGATGAGAATTTGGTCTCAACATACAACCAATCATCAATGGGTTGTTAAGCAAGCAACTGGTGATACGAGTTACTTGAAGGATAGAACTATATTAGCACCGACACTGGATGTTGTTGAGTCTATTAATGAGTAAATGACGTCGTTAAAATTATCTGATGATCATACGTACTTAAGTTTCGATAGTACTTGCAAGTCAGACTCTAATAACAACTTTTTGTCTAATCTCCACACACCCAAGTTCTTGAATAGCATAACCATTTGTATGATCTCCACACTCCCAAGGTGTTGATTCTTAGAATGACTAAAACTCATTTCGATTTTCGAATTCCTTTCAAGTTCCAGCGGCGGCAGTTTTCCATTATTATTTCATACGTCATGATTGTAAACAAGAGATAAGGACAATTGTTATCGCATGTAGGTTTTTTCAGTCATGACAGTCATACGTTGTTGTCTCCCGTATCACCAATTGAAGTGGTTTGAAAATATTAGTTTGTGGAGACGATGAATCGCCAACAAATCAAACAGAAAAAGTTGTATACAAGGAAGTGTTGAATAATTTATGATTTTTTACTTTGTTTGAGAACCCTTTACTTTTGTTACATATATATCAAGTTTATTAATTTCAATGTTAATTTTTTTAAATATTAGAGTAGAATATATAATCTCGTGCATCGCATGTGTCGCGACTAGTAGTTGGTATAATGTGTAAGAATGGTTGAGTGTGTCGTTTAATTATATTGATAATATTGAGGATAGTGGGTTGAGTTAAGGTTGAGTTAGATTTGCGTTAAAAAAAGTGAT